TATATATATATATCGCCCCAGGCACCTTTTGGCTATTACTGATGAAACTAGTTTATCGCCGCTGCTCTGTCGCCAATGCTAACCGATAGCCTTCTCTCGCATAGTGTAGAGAGTCACACTACTTTCTGCCCTGCGTCATCGAATTTACGCTGAGGAATTCTGGCTGGAATACGAACGTCCGAGCTGTTTACGATTAAATGGTGTACTCCAATGTGCTCCAAGATGTTTCTCCCTGTAACGTTAGTTGGCGTTTCAGTCGCTTTGGCTGTCCCTATTGAAGGAACAGTTAAAGCATATTCAAAGCATCGACTTGTGTTAGCGTATCTCTCTTCGCCGGAGACATTCGCCGTTGCTAAAGCGTTTGGTGCGAATGGCCAACTTGACCTGTGGACGAATGTGCCACAAAATAACACGATTATGTTTTCTGTTGCCCCCGAGTATTTTTCCAAGGTCGAATCCACTCTTGTGAAGTCCAACATTATGACCGAAGTTCTCGAGGAGGATCTTCAAAAGCTTATCGACGATGAACGCAGCGGACAGGTTTATCGTCTGATGTCGCGCCGACCGTTCGATCTGCGAAATTTCGAGACGTACGACCAGATTGTAGCTTCGGTAGACTACTATGCCAGCGTACCGCACGCTTTTGCCGATATCAGTCGCTTCGTCATTGGAAAAAGCTACGAGAGCAGAGAGATCATCGGCATCAAATTCTCAAACTCCGTCACGAAAAAACCCATCATTTTTATCGAGTGCGGTATTCACGCCCGTGAGTGGGCTTCCATATCGACTTGCCTCTACATGATCCACCAGCTTGCCACTAATCAGGAAACACACAAGGACCTTTTGGATAGGTAAGGGAAGTGTATTCTCAATGAAACCGCCCATAAGACCACTTATGTAATAATTCGTGCAAGATTATATAGCACTTATAATGACGCCTGTTTAAACGCTTGTTTTTGTCTTAATCCGTATATCTTATATATATATATATAAGCAGATGCCGCCACTAAGTGTCCTTAGCTTGAATTGACAGTGAAAAGAGCTCTAGTTCACCCAATTTGGTTATTTTTCTATCTATTATAATGCATGCTATAATATTCAGGCTAGTCGATTATCTGTACCAAGCACAAATGCCAGAAAGGCACCACTTTGTTCCAGCTGAGCGATTCTGTAACTTCCATACTGTTTTCTTTGGTCTGAAACCTTCACGGCCACGTATTCGGTGACTACTTCGAAAGCGATTTAATATTAGCAGCGCAATTGTATCACTTAATTGTCTGAAGGTTAATTAATCTCATTTAAAATGCATTTTTACCTTTTTGCACAGTTATGTAGGTCAAGTATCGTTCATGCAACCCCGATGTGGGCCTTAACTAGGCACACAGTGCTTTAGGTTTAGTGGAATAAAGAGCGTAACAGTTAAAAAAAAAAAAAACAAGTACGATCCGTTCATGTTTGAGGTTCGAGTTCCACATTGTTCCCTCGGCCAATCCTGACGGTTATGAGTACACCAGGACATGTAATCGCCTTTGGAGAAAAAACCGAAGCTGTCAGACTGCTCACTGTTTTGGGGTCGATCTCAACCGTAATTTTGAAGCTGGTCCTCATTGCGGCTTAGGTACAGAGAGTGATCCCTGTTCGGATATCTATTGCGGTTCGAAACCGTTCTCTGAGCCGGAGACTATGGCTATTCGCAATTACTTAGCCGGGATCAAGGACCGTGTTGACTACTATATTTCAATACACGCCTTCGGCCTTGCGTGGATGTTCCCGTACTCTGTAATGTACGAACATTGCAAAGATCATCAAGAACTTCTCGAAAAGGCTAAAATTGGTGTTAACGCGATCAGGTAAGACAGACCCTTACTGAGAATAAGACTTACGTTGCGGTAATATGGTAAGGATGACAAAACATTTCTTACCTGTAAGCAGTTTTCATAAACAAGTTTTAACGTAAGCGCTGTTTGCAGGTGTTCGGTTCTAAAATAGTCTGGTCTAAGTTCAAATCTGGATGTGGACATGGTCCAATAAAATCAGAGCTGTAGGAAAAACGCTTAATTTTTTTTATTCCTCCTTTTGCTCGATCTATCAAAATTACTCGTGTCGAGCTTATCGTAGCCAAAAGTCAGCTGTGCATGAACTTGTTTAAGATAAATATTTCCACTCATGACCACTACGATCCGTTTGGCCGGACTAGATAATAGTTAATCATGTATGGGCAAGTAATCGTGATACTATTCACCAATAAATAAATAAATTAATTTATGATAATAAATTTTTTGCAGAGAAAAAACAGGTACTGTATACAAATACGGACCTATAGCGACGACCTTTTATCGTGTGACTGGTTCTTCGACTGACTGGGCTTACATTAGCCTTGGAATCAAGAAATCCTACGTACTCGAAATACAGCCGGCGTTAAGCGCTGGTGGGCGTGGATTTCTCTTGCCGAAGGAAAAGATTATCCCTGTGGGAGAGGAGACCTTTGCTGGTCTTAAGGCCATATGGCTTTCCTAGATGTCACTGAAAGAGCAAGGACATTTTCAGCTGGCAACGAACCACGTTATTCAAGACAGCTCATGATACAGACTGATGCGTCTGGGTTTACCATTCACTTGTGTGTATTGAAAATTGTAAATAAAAAGGCGCAATTTCAAATCGCATAGTAAAGGTTATAATTTAGTTGTCTTATCTTGAGAAATTTAATTCAGGACACCCAGATCTGTTTTTATGTTTAAGGAAATGATTTTTATCTCCAAATTAGCCTATTGAAATCATGTTTGAAGGGCTATTTGAAGGGTCGAAAATGTTTTGCTCTCAAAACGTTATTTTCTCTTCCAAGTGCAATGTTGGTGAAAAGTGGCACCCATCTTTCGCTGAACTAGGGGGGAGGGGGTCAGTGTTATCTAGATCTCGAAGAAGATTTCTACAAACAAGTTTACCGGTACTTTAGTGGGTAGCACGCAGAAAAAGCCGCTTCTTACCAACACTTTATTTGATGGCTGCTATAAGCTGTTAGTCAATGGTTTGCATGTCCTTCAAGCTTTAGGTCTCAAACTCTTTGTGTTTTCCTAACTTCTGTAGCGTTTTATCGGCTCTTCAGTATATGGATATGAACGTTATCAGGCACAGTATTCTAGGCAGGTTGGATTCTTTTACCCTTAGAAGATTGTGCTTTATGTATGATTTAAATCATAATACATTTGGTCCGCAACACTTGCGAAGTATATAATAAATAAAGCGTCGTACACGAGGAGCTAATATTAGATATATTCAAATTGCTCGTTTTACGCTGCAGCCACCTTTCAAGGAACTTATCGCAAAACATAGGTAAAACTGTCGAGAAGAAATTTGTTTAGGCGCATCGTGGATAGCTTTCACCTATCGACTGCCGGCGATGCTTCGGTAGTAGTTCAGCATTAATGATTATCTTCCTTTATGACTATGTCACCTAACTATACTACTGTATTAATGATGACGGAGCATCCTCCTTATAATGCCTTCTGCTTTTCCCTACCTGTTCCTCGGTCATGGCGCCTAATCCAACCCAAGCGCTCAATTCGGAGGGCAGTATAAAATCTAGACGCCTTTACAATTTAAATGAATTGTAATACAAGTCGACGGGACCCTCATTGACCGCAGTCGCATCTTTCGTCTTCATCGTTACAAAGAGAAGACGTGATTAGAGTGAACTTCACGAACTAACAAGTGATGTCGCTCACAGTCCCATTGTCAGAGATACTGACTGCGGCACAGACGTTGAGCAATGGTGGCAAGCTCGATCTATGACATAATATTGCCCGCAATAGTTCGGTTATATATTCTCATTTTCGGTTATATATATATATATATATAACCGAGAATGAGAATAGGCAGACACTGGTCGATGACAAACGTTCCAGATTAACGTTACTTACGACCAGATCAACGCCTCGATAGGCTACTGTGTCAACCGCGTCCCCAGGAAAGAATTAGTCGTCTCACCATTGGCAATAGTTACAAGGGACGCTGGATTGTCGGTATCAGGATTTCAAATTTAGTACAGAAAACTGACTATCTTTGGAGTGTGGTATTTACGCATGTTTATAGTAGTGGGTGTCAACATCGACATGGTTCTATAGTATTCATGAATCAGGAATCACACAGAGATCTTTTAGACAGGTAGGTATTCAGACGTGCTGGGATGCAGCCCTCAAGAAGAGCTGAGAGCGAGTACCGATCTTATGGGGAAACTTCAAGAAGCACAACAGTCTCAAATGAATGTGATTTATATGACCGCGGTCTTCACAGGGCGTTGATAATGTAATAGATTCTTGTATGTTAGTCAGGACAATATTAATGATTTAGAAAATTGGATAGAAAATCCAACCTAGTTTGTTTTGAAAAGTCGAACTCATAAAATTGGAATTAGCATATATGTTTTAAATTTGACATTTAGTATATAATCTATAAATACCCTTATGGAATTCTCGGTTTACAAGATTTGGTTAGCTTAATACGAGTCTGCATTTACACACCCAACTGAATTTCTTTTAATATTTTAGAGGGAGATAAATATGAAAAAAAAAAACCTAAATATGTTTTAAAGTAGAGTAACGTTATTTCATCGTGTGCCGTGTTTTTTTTTCAACAGGTGTCTGTCAATATAGATTAATTTCTTTTTCATTTTGTGGAGGCTTGAAACACTCAGTGCAATTGATTCCGTCACAATGGGCAATAACGGCCGTGATTCCTTTCAAATCCATATGATCAATGCGATGATAATAAGAGTGAAGCGTAGACAACGATCTTCAGGCGAGTCAAAGGTGACTATATGGTAAGCTGGAGTTATAAGCGTCAATTATTTGACAAATCACTGGGATTGAATCCGGGATTTTAATGTTACGAGTCCGATGCTCCACACCAGCCTCCACGACCACAACAGTGAAATTTCTATATATTTTTTATATTAATATTTTTTACCTTATCCACCAACAAACATACATACATACATACATAGTGGTAACAATTGTATTATGGCTTGTTTACAGAATTTACTTCGAAATGAAACCAGATACTTGAGTAATGACTGATTTTTTTTATTCTGTCTCTTTAATGTTACTGATTTAGTGGCGGCTCTTTTGCGAGGTTATGAACCATTTAACTCCCACTCAAAGGTTTTTGAAATTAATGTTAAACGAATAGTAAAAATCCTATTCTTCTAATTTTAATGCTATCGATTTACCCGCGACTTCGGAGAGAAAATCGACTTAACCGAAATTTCAAAGCCGGCTAACACTGTGAATGATTCACATTCGGACACCTATAGCCACCTAAAACCCTCTTCTAAGCCCAAAAACTCCGCCATCGTGACTATGTGGGAAAAATACAACCTAAATACAATCGTTCGGCCTTTAGTAGATGCTCTCATACGGGCACAAATCGGACCACTGCAAAGATCATGATGTTCTACTGAAAAGAACCAAAGTTGCAGTTGATGTATATATATATATATATATATATATATATATATATATATATATATATATGCGCATAAGGCGTAGATAACAGCATGAGGGGAGTAAAACATTAGATAAAAGATTTATCTACAGCGCTTCGAAATACAGAAATTACAATCTTTGTTCAGCTGAAGGAATAATTTAGTAAATTATACGATTTTTGTATATTAATACTGAATGATATCGCAGCTTCAGACAGACATTCTGTACGAATCCCAGGAGTAAGATAACGCCTTTGTTTGTCATAAATGAGCAAAAATCAACTGAATTTACAAAGGAGTCTATTGACGTGACTACAAGCCCAGCGACCGACTGGCCACTCTTGGGAGCTTGAAATCAACTGGACGTTCGTGCTGGAATTGCAACCTACGCCTCACACTGGGTCCGGACCACGCTGAATCCGTAAATTCATCTTAGCTCCGAAAAGTGTCATTCCTGCCATGTGATCCTCCTAAATTCCCACTAATTCTGGACAGATGCTCCAACTTGCATATTTTTTGAGAACTGAATCGTTTGTTTTCCTATGAAGGTTATCACAAACGTCTCGTTTGTGCAGTTCGTTTTGCAAATAAAGGTAACACGGTATATAACGATGTCAGGTGCTACTGGCCATTGAACCTGGCTTATAACAAATGCTGCAGTATTAGGGCAATTCTTGTGAGCATTCAGTAGGTTTACTAGGATAATATGCCGCAAATTATTATTAAAATATTATTTCTATAAAGATTACACTGTTTAACATGACCTAGACTTTTGGAGATACTTTTGATGGAAAAACATTTTCAAAGAAACTAGTCGCATTGAACGCGTAAGCTTTCCTTCAGCGTCACTATTGTGTTTCATTGTGAAGGTGCTTTAAAGGTAAATGCAAAGTAAAGCAAAACCAACTGCTAATTAAAAATACCGCTATTGTCAGGGCATACTAGTTTCACAAGCAAAATTAAGCTACAGTGCCGTATTGAGCGATTGGGCAACAAAATAGAACAAATGCGAAACGATTCCAAATAAGAACGACATGTTATAAAATACGGAAATATATTATTACTTTTTGTGAGGCAGTTGCCAGGTGCGTCTTGAGAGGCTGGAGGCGACTAGAGAGCGTGTGCTTCGAGTCCCGTATTTATATATTCCGCTTTATTATTTATAAATTATTAATTAATTTTAAATTATTAATTAATTATTATTTGTATTTATTATTCCGATTTATATATACCGCTTCTTTGCCTGAACTAATCGAATGGTTCAGTAATCAGTTCGAATGGAGACGCAATTTCAGTCCACAGTCTGAGCCGCCATCGTTGCGTAAGCCATTTCCGATACTCCCGCGTGAGCCAATTTGCATCAGGAATAGATTTAGACAACTGTAGGCTTGAAGACCGTCGGCGAATGGCTGAGAAGCCGCCATTGTTGTTGTGACTACTTTTCCCTCTGTAAGTGTACAGCGACGAGCCTTATGAACAAGATAAACGCTTGAGCAATTCATTGATCGCTTGATGATGCGGTCTTGCTCCAAGATGTTTTTCTTGCAGCACTACTTGGTGTTTGAACCGTCATGGCTGCGCTTCTTGAAGAAACACTTAAAATCTCTGAATATCGACTTCACCGGGACGTTCGAGGAAGTAGAATTATGTATCGAACTGTGGACCCAGGCGCTTCGAAACAATACGATCATGCTTTCCGTTGTTCGCGAGCATTTATGAAGGGTGAGCGCTCATGAGAGCAGTAGCTAGACAAAGGCTTCCGACCTCTCAATTTCCGAAATTTTCAGGAATACGATCAGATCGTTATTACCAATTCATTGCGTTTCAACTGCACAGGAAAAAAGCTACGAAGCCAGGAAAATCGTTGGCATCGAAATCTCAGACTCGATTACCAAGAAGCCCCTCACTTTCATGGAGGGCGGTATCCACGACTGTGAGTAGCTCTCAACCTAAAGTTGTGTCGATACGGCCGACCAGCTTATCACTGACCTTACACAACGACCTTTTGGTTCTGAAAATCTGAATCTGTTGAAAT